ATCCACATTTAAAAATTTTAATTTCAGTGTGGTAAGTTTTCTTTATCAAATTCATATAATTTTTATATAACAGTTCATGTTAAAATGCTCTTTTTCAAAATTAAATATTTATGGAATGTCATGCATGAGCAACTTCAGAAAATTGAAATATAACAGGTATACATAAAAAGATCAATTATTTTCAGAAAAAAATAATACTGAATTTTAAATAACTCAAAATTTTTCTTTGGTTGCTAATATATTGTTCTATCATGCAGTCTTGATTATAGTTATGTTTGATTTATATAAAATAAGTTGTTAAAAATAGTTAAAGTCTCCTTGCCTTAGCACTATTAATTTGGGATATGTAACAGGTGAGAATTATAAAAGACTAGATGAAAAAGGCTCTCAAAGTACCTTGATGATCCATTAATGTAAAACTATTTTCTCTTTTTAAAACTCGTGTGTGTGTGTGTGTGTGTGTGTGTTCTCCTCCACAGCCTTTTCATGTCTTACCTGTCTTACCAAATTCTGGCCTCTTTTCTACTTGTCTGTTCAGTACACGATGGCAAGCCTCTTAAGGACTAGAATTCACATCCCACCTGTCTTGGCATGCGCTCCCTGAAGGGGTCTAGCACCACGTTCTGCATGTTCTAACACGTCTGCGTGTATACAATGGTTCACCAAATGGGATGGTTAATCAAGTGTCCATTTTATGACCCAAAAGTATGATACTATCAGTAAGTCCTGTATCTGTATAGTGGTTATTTTTTTCAAAGAACTTTCATACTTATGCTTATTTTATTCTCATAACAATGTGGAATAGAAAGAGCAGCATTATTACACAGGTGGAAACTGAGGCACCGATATGTAAATTATTTGCTGTAATTCACAAAAACATGGACAGATCCTAGACTAAAACACAGATTCTCTGCTTTCTTTTAATCTAAAGTCCTTTCTCTTAGAGGTACTTGAAATATCATTCACAGTAGTAAAAATTGAGAACTTTATTCTAAAAAAAAAAAAAAAACGGAAAAGAAAGATTAACCTTTCCTAAAATTCACTGACTCAAGTTTTTTTCTTTTCTTTGTCCTCACCCGAGGACATTTTTCCATTTTTTGTTCAGGTAGAGTGGGAGGGAGAGAGAGGAACAGAGAGAGAGAGAGAAACATCGATGTGAAAGGAACACATCGAGTGGCTGCCACCCGCACAACCCGCACAACCGACCAGGGCCGGGGACAAACTGCAACCCAGGTACGTGCCCTTAGCGGGAACCGAACCCGGGTCTCTCAGGACCACAGGCTGACGCTCTAACTGCTGAACCAAACCGGCCAGGGCCTGACTCAAGTTTTTACTGAGTTCACCTGTAGTTAAATTAAACAGACCCATTTGAAGCAGTTTAGCAAAATATTTAGCCGGTATTTGATGTGTGCTTTCTGCATGGCGAGCGCTTCATCAGACACCGGTAGTAAGGTGGTCAATGGAACTGCCCATCCAGAACACTCGAGCGTTATGCTCTCCACTGGTTTAGTGTGCTGTCCACGGTATTCCCTTACTAAAAACTGCCCTCTGTCACCGCCTTTGTGCTGTGCAGGGAAACAGCCGGGGTGCGGTCAGCAATGCAGATCTTTCAGGGGCCTGTGACATCAGGGATCTGATGGAATGCAGCACTAATGCATTTGACTCGCAGTTTCAGTTGTTTGATTTTCAGTTTTAAGAGAAACACTGGAAAGCACAGAAAAAGCAAATAATGCTCAAAGTACTGGGAAGCATACTAGAAATAAAGGCTTTCTTTTCCTTACTCACGTTTTCTACTCTGTTTATACACAACTGAAATAAAATGTGCACTTTTTTTCTTTTTGTTAATCCGCACCTGAGGATATTTTTTCCATTGATTTAAAAGGAGAGAGAAACATCGATGTGAGACACACATCAATTGGTTTTCCTCCACACACACCCCATCTGCCCAGCACACTGGGTTGGGGCTATGTGTCCTTGACCAGGAATCGAACCAGCAACACTTTGGTGCAAGGACTGATGCTCTAACCACTGACCAGGGCAAATGTGCAATTTTTATCACAATCTCCAGTGCTAATATAATGAACAAGTGCAGAAAGGGAGGGAGGAGGATAAAAATCTGAAATCTATCAAAGATGAAGCCAAGTGACATGTATGTAGGTATTGCTTACTAAACAACAAATTATAGGACAACATAAAGTAGGATTCTCCAAGGTGTTAGAACAATACCATTTTGCCCAGAAGGCAAAGATAAGGCTTTGATAAAGGATGGGCTGGCCCTGGCCAGTGTTGCTCAGTGGTTAGAGTATCTGCCCTGCACACAAAAGGGTCATGGATTCGATTGCCGGTCAAGGGCACATACCTGGGTTGCAGATTTCATCCTTTACCTGGGGGGAGGGGGGAGGGCGTGCAGGAGGCAACCGATTGATGTCTCTCCTTCCCTTCTTTTTTTCCACTCTCTCTAAAAATCAATGGAAAAAAATATCCTCTGGTGAGGATTAACAAATAAAATAATAATAATATTAAATTTAAATTAAAATAAGAATGAGCCAGATCAGAGAGGAATATGATAAACACTTTGTGTGAGGCTAGATGTGATTGTATAGCTAACCACAGCTGGAGCTGTATTTTTAATTCACAAAAGCCTGCATACCCATACATATTTTCAGGAACACAGAGTACCTGTGGCCAAGTGAGGTCTGTAGTAGCAGCAGGTGCCTTAAAACAGGCAGGCCAGGATGCCTCATCGCTCTCTGGAAGTTGAGGTGCAATGCTACCCAAATAGCTTGTTCCCAAAATAAAAATGGGTGGTTCCAGGGGACAGTGCCTCTAATACTGTGCTCCAACCATTTCAACCTAAGACTGGTCGTATCAGTTGCTATAATTATCACCTTAAACTGGACATGCATTTCTTGCTATATATAGATAGAAGTGACATGTGTATTTGAATATCGGTGTCATTATATGTACCTTCCTCAGAACAACAGTCATATTCAACAGTCCTTTACTGCTCAGCCCACCCCTCTGTAAAACTCACCCTCAGCAAAGGGTACTGAACAAACCAGAGACACAGTGTTCAAAAATCAGATATACTTTGTTTCCGTTTTGAGAAAACCAGCAATAAAACCAACTCCCAAAAGAGGCAAATGTGGAAGTGATTATTAGCATTGTGAACAGATATTCTTTTAACTATTTGAATTACTCAAAGCGTTGTGTGTGTATAGATGATTAACTACTTGAGGAATAGACTTTATAAAAATGGTGGGTGCCGTGGTCATTGTATTGCTGTTATTTTCACTATTATGGTTATTATCATTGTTACTATCACTCCCATATTACAGATGAATAAACTGAGACTCAGAAAATTTAAATAACAAATTTAAGGTGACAGAGTTAGTAGGTGGTAAGACAAAGATTGTTCAAAGGTCTGTGTCATCAGTAACACTTTCATTTATTTACCACACAGCCTTTCTCTTTTTGTCTTATTATTTTAAATGTTTTATGATATAAGGATATGTATAATACTATTCTATAAATGGATAAAATAGGCATTAATTGATTGGTATAAGAGCAGAAATGTGGCTGAAATGTGCCAAACCACACTTGAAAACATTGGGTATAGATTTTCCCATAAATGGCATTATACTCTAAACCTTCATATGAATTTTTAATATTGTAAGTTTTTAAAAGTACTGTAAGAAATTAAAGATGTTTACAATGCTGATTGCTTTTATAAGAACTCTTTATTGGAAAAATCTCAAATTAGATGAATAATTATAAACTTCAACCTTGACTTTTTAAAGTCACAGTCAATAGTGGCATAAATACAAAATATTTCTTGAGATTTACTCCAAGAAATACAACCTCTTTTATCACAAGAAAGAATTAGGTTCTCGGATTAAGTTTTTCCAAATTTTGACATAAAATGTAAATTCACTATAATTCATGTGTTTATTCATTAATACCAAGTAAAAAGAATGGGTCGGAGAGATTGGAAGAAAAACAAAAGCCTACAATGCTCCTCTAAGCCTAGAGAGTGGAGAGTTTCAGGAAAAAGGGAGGGATCAATGGCAGCAAATCCAACACAGGGCCCGAAAAATAAGGAAAAAGAAGTGTTGGTCAACCTTAGACACTAGGAGGCCACAGAGACCCTGAGGAAGAATTGTTTTAGTGGAGTGGTGGGGACAGAAGCCAGATGGCCTTGTGAATGCTGACAGTGGCCCGAGTTAATCCAAGTATTATCATGCCAAAACAAATTAAAGGCAGATTATTTTCATTAGAAAATCAGTTAAGACACTGAAGTTATTGTGTGTGTGTGTGTGTGTGTGTGTGTGTATGTTTTAATAGAAAACAAACAGCTCTCCCCAATTTAAATGCTGATTTTCTGCTTGCTTCGCCTCTGCTGCTCACTTTTTTTAGATATACATGATCCATGACTTAGCCTAAAGATTTTGATCAGATTAGAGGTCACTGTCATATCCCTGCCTATATATCACAGTGGCAGCTATTAAATGCAAATCAAAGGAAAGACAGTACATTTGTATGACAATAAGATTGTATTTGATGCGATTTGACATGAGTCTAAAAGATAAAGAATGAGAAATAGTGTGTGTTAAAATTGATGAAGAGTGGATTTTGCTCTGCAGGTGCCCAGACTCACAGATTTCATGTCTCTTGAACAACTGATTTAAAAATGTGGTTTAATTCCACCTAAGTGGTCTTGTGTTGTTTCTTCAGCAGGATCGCTCATTGCTGCTGGGTTGGCAGATTGTTTTCATGAGAGCTCTCTGAACCAATCAGGACACAGATAATCTTATTATACCTTTGTGGGTTTGTGTTTCTTTTGATGAGAGTCTAGAGAAGTCATGGGTAATACTTTACTGTGTGCCAGGAACCACTTATGTTTCGGTTGTACAAGGTCAGATCCTAATTTAACCACCAACTGGGTACTTAATTTTAGATACTCAGAGGAACACATTGGCTCCAAGGCATTTCCTCTGGTTTAGGAAGGCAAGGCCCTGGATGAGAATGGCAAGACGAGCATTCCAAAAGGTGAGATTATGAAATATTTGATCTGTACCTCACCAAATAGCTTATTAAGTAGTTTACTATTAAGAATATTTTAAACAGACGGAAACACATATTATAGTAACTTCTCATTACTTTCTTTCCAACTGACCACCCATGGGTTTGCCTGTCTAGGGCCTTTTTAATTATAGAATAAATCCAGGGTTGTTTTGTTTGTTTATATAATATTACCTCAATTACATAGTTACTAATCACAATAAATAATAGTACCATTACAAAAACAGATCAAGAATAAATATGTTTATAGGAAGTGTCAATATATATATACTATGGAATCCCAGAAGCTAGCCCTGGTTTCTGAAAAAAAAAGGGTAAATGATTTTTGTCAATGATTGAAATAAATCTATATCAAGGCCTTTTCATCACTTATAACAAATGAATGCTTTTTATTCAGATCAAAAATTCCTTTAAATTGTTTTAAATCAGAAGAAGAAAAGGAACTTAATAGAATTGAAAATTTGCTTTTGCAAATTAAATAATAGAATCCTGAGGTTTAAAGTCCTTCGAATTTATCTGATACTGTCACCCATCTGGTTCTTAAATGAACAGATAACTTCTAAGAAAGCTTCTATATCTAAAAATGTGACAGGTAGCTCTCACAGACACCAGAAAGTCAGAGGGAGTGGGCTGTCCCCAACCTCTATCCTTGTCTTCTCATATAAATGAATTTAAATGACAGACTCTAGGTAGTATTTGCATTGTGTTTAGTGAATTCATTAAAACATTAATGCACGCACATTTAGTCAAGAGGCAAGGCAAGCAACTCTATACATCTGGTTTATGAAGCACAGATGGGCTCTCAGCTAATCTGAAGAGTGAGTTGGGTGGGGGTTTCTGCCTTATATACCCTTCTGTCTATAAATTGTTGTGGTTTTTTAAATTCCTCTGCTAGACATCCTGGTACAGATTAACTCTAAGTCTCCCATTTTCTTTGTTATGGCTTTCCCACAGTTTATGGAAAGTACCTGGCAATTAGATCCCAAGTACTGGCTTTCTGTTTACATTCTTCTTTCCCCACCTCCCTGCTGTAACAATTTGAGGAAGATTTTCATGAAGTAGTTTCCAATTCCTCCTCTTCACCTCCTCCTTCCAATATTCCTTCTTCTCCAGCATTCTTCTGTGAGAAGGAAAGGTTTTAACCCTTTGTTCTCAAGATAAGATCCTGCTATAAGCAACTTGCAAAGCTTTTTGGCTTTGTTTAATTTCCCTGCCTCAGTTTCCCTATTTCACTTGGCCCGGAATTTTCCCAGCTTTTCATTGTCCTAAAACAAAATAAAATGATTTCTATGAAACAGCAGTGATATGGACAAGAAAGTTCTAACACTGGTTTTTTGCTGAGCACATTATTGTCATAAAATATAATTTTAGACTTCTGCTGTTTTTATGGGAAGAGTGTTTGATAGGTTTGCTGGTTATTTGCTTAAATCCTTTTAGAAAACTTTTTCTGAAGTTTATGGATATTAGGATTACAAAATGCGACTATTTTTTCATTAATCCCATGAGAGTAGCTGAGTCGTCAGAGTATACTGTAGCAGTTAAACCTGTGTGGCTCTAATGTCAAATGACTGAGTGACAAATCACCTAACCACTCTGTGCTTCACTCAGTTTTCTCATCTGTAAAATGGGGGGAAAGTGTGCTGTAGAAATTAAATAACATAATCTATTTAATGTACTCAGAATAATGCATGTCACAGGTAAGCACTCAATAGATGTTACTTATAATAATCATTAAATTTAATAATACAAATATTTCTTGAGGACCTGCTATGAGCTTGACTGCAAAACTTTGGAAGGGAGAGGAGGGGAGAGATTAATGTTGTTTCTGGGTAAACTCTAGAATGCATTATTTAAAGGCAGCAAACTCCCTGAGGGCATGGTTCCTGTTGTCTTGTGTAGATCACTGTGACTGGAACACAGCAGATATTGAAAACCTGGTTTTGAATGACCACATAGGATGCTCTGAAAATCCTTAGGAAAAAAATATAATCACTGAGAACTGGTGGGTCAACTCTTCTCTTTTGTATTTTTGGTTGAGAGAAGGGGAATGTAGACATTATGCACCTTATTTCTACAAGGCATTTGGCAGTATCTCTTGATGACGGTCTTGTTATTGAAAAAGAGACATTAATACTAGGTGTTGGTGTCTTTGGGAGGATTTGCAGCTGCATAAACATATTTTCTTGAAAGTTGCTAAACAGTAGATCGATATCAACCTGTAGGTCTCTGTCCTGAGCCAATTTCTGTTCAACATTTATTATTACTAATGGAGCAGATAGACATAAAGAAAACATGCAAATATATCTGCAAATAGAACAATAGTTGGAGGGATAGAAAATGCATTAGATCTTAGAAGACTGCAATAAAGGTCAAATCTAAATAAATAAATAAAATGTAATAGAATTAAATAAATAGCCCTGCACAGAATTGCACAGCTATAATGTGGGGAAAATATGACTTGTAGAATTTGGGGCAACAGGGAACTGAATCAAGTGTGTAACATGATAGTCCCCCAATTCATCTGAGCTTGGGCTACATTAACGGATCTATAGTGTCTGGGGAAAAAGAGATGGTCACACCTGCTTCATGTTGTGTTTATTAGACTGCAGCTGCCATTAGAGCCCATGGCCCGAGCCTCTTTTAGAAAGAGATGGATGTTAAAGAAGTGTGTTTACAGGAACGCAATCAAGATTGTGGAGGGAAGTGAACCCACATCAGAGGAAGGACAGATGTCCAATCTTCAGAGGAGAAGGCTCAGTGGAGATCTGACAGCCTTCCTGGGAGATATTTAAGGGGCTCTCGTGTGGCAGAGGAACATTTTCTCAGGGTGGCTCTGAGGAGCACTAGGATCATAGAACAATGATTTGAGGAGATGGACTCAACTTAAATGGTTTTCCTAATTGTTAAAGATGGCCAAGAGCCAAAGAGGAGGGGCAGTGTGGAGATACAGTAAGTTTCTTGTCACTTTGGTGCTCAAACTGAGACTGGAAAATTACTTGTTGGGCATGTTGTAAGTGGAATTTACACATGCGGCTACCTAATGGTCTTCAACTCTGAAGTCTGGTGATTCTAGAGAAAGGAAGGAGAGGAAATGATGAATGTGTCAGATTGCCTGTTCAAGGGTGAGGAATAGAGCTAAAACTGCCAAACAATCTTTAAAATTGTGCTTTCCTATTCCAGAGGAGTTCAGTCACAGAATATCAACTGGAAATGTTTACTGACTACTGGAAACATGTCAGACACAGCTAATGAGGCAGCTACTCTAGGAGGGCAGGATCTGAACGAACGTTCAGCTACCACACTCAACTGTCTCCAGCAGAAAGAAATCAATGGCCTGTGCATGAATTCAAAATAAATATGAAGAAATGCAAAGGCTCATTATTTTTTGAGTGAGTTTTACACAGGAAATGATTTGACTTGAGCACCAGACAGGAACTTCTGCCATGTCAAACAAAATATACCATGCCCAGGAACAAATATTTCTAGAGAGAGTATATATATATATGAATATATGTATGTACATATACAAATACATATACATATACAGTAGTTTTTATTAAGGTCTAGACATATTGTTTTTACTGTTATTATAGCTAATGGATGTAGTAAAAACATCTTTACTCACTCTACAGCTCAATTGCATAAACCAAATTAAGCTATTTTATTGTCAATAATTGGCTTCACTTTCCTCTGGAGCTGCTACTCACTAATTAGTGGAAAATACTTTTGGTTTCATGCAGACAGACATAATAACTTAGATAATGAAGCCACGGCTTGGATGGCTCAGATAAATCTGTCTTTCTGATCGCTGCTTTTCCCCCATCCAAGAAACTCCATCAGGTTTCATCTGCTTGACTATAAATTTGGTCAACTTCCACTCTTCTAAGGGGCAATGTCACTAAGATCTCTTGCTCGCCCAGAAGTGACCTATCTCACCACCCTAAGGCTTAGCCTGTGAACCAGATGCCAGGCCAGTTTCTGGAAGGCTTTGTGATCTCTGGCTCCACAAAGTCAACCTTAGTTCCTTCAAAGTGGCTGGTCATGTCTGATTAAATAAACATCATTCTCATGGACCTAACTTTATCCATGGCATTAAATATTCCTCAAGGATATGAATTTTAATAACAATATAGTTTTCCATTGTTTGGGTATACACTAATGTCTTTTACAAATTCCCTCTTGTTGGACATTTTATATTGTTTCTAATGTGTTATCAGTTTAAATATGGCTGAGATAAACATTTTCCATACAAGTCTTTTTCCATATCTCTGATTATTTTTATAAGATTCCTAAATTAATAATTACAGACAAAGGGTAGGGCTTTTAAAGATCATATTATTGTACTAGATATTGATAAGGCACGTTTATTCATAATTTGCCTCTTCATGGGCCTGCTTGCTCTATTCTTTTCTATTCTACATTTACATCCCCCAAGAAATCCACATACTTAAGAACCTAAAGCTTCTTTCCATTCTATGTGTCCTTTTCAAAATCTAGCATGTGTCTTCCTACATCTTCGTCATAATTAAATTTTACTTGGAAATCAATAGTGGAGACTAAAAATGTCTAATTTTGTAATATGGAGCTAGATATAAGCAAAACTAGTGTGACAGTTTTTATGACTAGCATATTTACTTAGAAATTAAGCCTCAGGTAATGCAGTCCCAAAATTGGTAGTGAACTTGGCAAAAACAAATGTATGACATAGAAAGAAAACACAAGGTTAATCTATTCTTTTGCTAATGTTCACAGTAGTGTATATTTGATCATCCAATTATTCATTCAGCAAATGCTTAGTGAAGTCCTGTCACAGACTAGATATCTTACTTGATGTCTGGAGACCAATATGTTCGTTTTACCTTTTAATATCTTTTCTAAAATGTTAAATTGTCTCAATTTGAGGCAATATAAAAGTAGTATTTGTTTTCTGGACTAAGAATGTGTGTGTATATGCATATGTGCACGTGTGCATGCATGCATGTATGTGCATGTGTGTGTGTGTGCATGCACGTCGTGTGTGTGTGTGTGTGTGTGTGTGTTAGCAGAACAAGTGGAGCTGTTAAAGATGTTTGAACTGGTCTAGTTCTCTCTGTTATCCATAGTATTTCTCTCTAATAGAAAAGGCAAATACCATCAATCTGTTCTTTGTGTCTGTGAGTCTGTTTCAATTTTGTTTGTTGGTTTATTTTGTTCTTTAGACTAATGGATTGCCAGAGGGGAGGGAAGTTAGGATTCTGGGTGGAAAAGGCGAAGGGATTAAGAAGTACAAATTGATAGTTACAAAATAGTCATGTAGATTTAAAGTACAGTATAGGGAATATAATCAATAATATTTATTGCAATGACTATGTACAGTCTAGGTGGGTACTAGAAATATCTGGAAGAGCACTTTGTAAAGTATGTAATTGTCTAACCACTATGCTGTACCTGAAACTAACACAAAATAAAGTTGAATATAAACTGTAATTGAAAATTTTAAAAAATATTTCACCTGGAGAAAAAAAAGGCAAATACCATGAAGATGGAATTGCTATAACTTATGACTTGTAAATGAAAGTCACCTGTGTCTGGGGTGGAGTCCAGTTCTGACAGAGTTTTACCTCTCTTTGAATCTCTTGAGGATTATTTGACTTTGTTCTGAAATCAGCCAGATGACACCCTTTATTTGATTTGCCACTTTGTGCTACAGGATTCTGAAAAAACGAGTGTTTAGTCACCAAATAAAAACCAAAGTTATAATAAAATTTTATTTTATTGATTTCAATATATTTTGAAAATTACACATACAAATGGTCAAAATGCAGAAAATGAGAATGCACATTGTTTTGTACATAACTATATTATCTTACCAAAACCAAAAAAATGAAAATGCCCTTTAATTATTGCTGTTCCTCTGGTAGGACAGACCCTGATGATTCTCTCTGGGACCTCCAGCAGAAGAACCCGCCACTCAAGAGCTGCAGCAGTTTAAGGTAAAAGGACATTTGCTCAGGGTCTCACGGTCTCTCCTCCCACACAGCAGAGCCTCAGGGTTTGGATAGGGGCTGCCTTATTTAAAGCTGTGAATAGAACCACATATTACTGCACTGCCCTTTTCTTACCCTTCCTCATCACCTCCCTCTGACTCAGCCTTAGACCCTCTGCCATCATCCCCTCCCCTTGTAACTATTGCAACAGATTCTGATCTACACTGGGGCCAGTCTGGTGCTACTGGCATTTTAAAAGGGACACTGGAAGATGGAACAAGAAGCTCTAAGGGACAGAACCTTTCGGTGACGTAACAGAATTACACTGATGTGACAGGTGCTGGGCAGTGTGATATTTATGGACACAAAGCCCTCCCCTGCAACATGGAAGTAACTGCCCACTCCAGGAACTCTTCGGGCCAGCCCTGTTCAGGACCCACAGAAATGGTTTCAGTTTAGTTTTGCCTGAGACAGATTGTGAGGATGAGTAGGCTAAACAGATTAGGATGTCACTGGAAATAAGCCAACTAAATAATTCATAGTGAACAAAGTCTCATTCCCCCAGCTCAGGGAAAAAGAGGACCTTGGTCAGTGCCATGCTGTGGGAGCTCCCATGGTTCAAAGGAAGCTCTGAGGGGCCTCACAAACGTAACAGTTTGGTATTATCATGGATCGTGGACTGGCAGTAGTTTAGAGAGTCCAGTGCAGAGAGGTGACATGTACCCAGGTTCACTCCTGCGTCATGCTTTGCAACCTCATCCCAACCTCCTGACCAATTGGGTCAGGCACTGACTGGCATGTTGGTCCTGTTTTTCAGACAGTAATGTGTAGACTCCAAAACAAAAGTACAGAATGAAGGCAAGCTTAGGACACCTCAGACCATCCTAAGCAACACAAAGCTGTATCACATGGAGCCAAAGATAAAGATTTATGTGTCTCTGGAAGCTATTTTTTATTTTTGGAAGTCATTGTCATCAAGATTGGCTGTTAGGAGCAAGATCAGAGTGTCTTCTTTTATAGGCAACAGACTGTGAGTTGTTTTCCTGCAGCTTCAGAAAGACCTTAAAAACAAAGTTACCCATGTTCTGTCCAGACCTTACTTATTAGCTCTGTGACATTCAGTGTTTTTTGTTTTTTTTTACCTCTTGAAGCCCAAGTTTCCACTTGTGCACAATGAATCTATAATACTTAAAAGTGGAAGTGGAGGATTTAGAGCAAGGCAGTGCATGCAAAGTGCTTTGGGTGGTGCTGGAAATGACGCAATCACTCAATAATTTATGGTTGTTATTATAATCACCATTTTCATTATTACCCAAAATAATCTAAAACTTACATGATCACCGAAATTTCCCTTTTCCCATTACGGTGTTCCTGACCATAAGCAAGGTTAACCAGTGCTTTAAATGAAATGGCTAACTGTCCAATATGACTGTCCCAATTATTTTGTAAATCAGCTACTTATGAAGAATAAACAAATCTCACTAGTGGGCTCCTTCAGAACAAGATTGACAAACTATTATTTAGAAAGGGCCAATTAATGTTTCTGGACTGAGACGTGGGGCACCTGTAAATAGGTCTTCAAGGATGTCAAACTATTCTTGCCTTTCCTCAGACACCTGGTTGGTATTTTACTTAAAGGTGATTGTTGCCAGCCATTAGCTGGGATTGATCCAGTCATTTTAAGTTTGAGTTTAACTCTCTTCTTGCCCTTCTCATTGTGTCTTGATGTCTCTAGATCCATTCAAACGAGGCCCCCTTGATTGTCCCTCTGACAGCTTATTGCGCCGCACACAGATCTGCCCTGCATCCCAAGCTTTCAGTAAAAGGTGGAGTTGTGTTATTAGTAGGAGTTTCCTCCCCATTTTTACCCTCTGTCATTAGGGATACAAAGCAGTTAAGAGTCTTAGATAACTTCTCTATGATGATAATTAAAAGGACATGGAAAAAAAAAAAACTTTCCACAGATCACCTCAGTTCTCTAAGGAGTCTGTGGTATCTCATGTCCTGGAAGCCCAAATTTCAAACAGATTTAGAGTAAGCCAGTGATTTAAATAGGTGAAAGGCTCTGTATCTCATTACTAATCCCAGAGCCATGCAATCCCCTAACACCACAGTGATGTTGGTGAGAAAGGCAACAGGCAATGCCACAGGTTTAACTTCATCATCTAATTGTGCTGTGTGAAGGACTCAGTGCTTTTCCGCTACTAATGAGTCAACAGATTTTTTCCAGTGACCACTGAGAACAGCCATTTGCTATGGTTAACTAGGAGTAGAGTAGAGAGAGAAGACATAAAGGATAAAGAAAGTTTATTTTTACTCATAAAACTAATTATCCAAGTGAAAATACAAAACACAAACATGTGAGGAACTTACAGAACAAATACAAAATGAGTGTAAATACATATGTTGGAAAAATATTATGTAAGAGGACATACACGCAGATAAAGAAGGCCAGAGGAGAATCGGAGAATTTCAGCGAGGGCTTCGGGACAGAGCCAGGCTTGAGGCAGTGTGGGCCATGGGCGTGGGACAGCTGACAGGGGCTTGTGAGTGCAGAGGAATAAGATATGAAAGCACGAAAGTGAGAAAAATGAAGCCAAGACAGAGTAGGCAATCAAATTTATTTAGTTGGAAGGAAGACTCCATACCTGAGGAAAATAGTTCTAAGAATAAAGCAGAGCCTAGATTATGTTAGTGTTCATTAATTAACTCATCCATCCATTAATTCATTCAATATGCATTTAGAGACCATGAGTCATGAGGTGCTACTTCTCTGGGCACTGGTGATACAGACTAATTCTCTGCGCTCATTGGATTACATTGTTGGGGGAGCAGAGAGACAATGAACGAGTAAACAATAAAAAATGAAATAAAATACCACTTGAATCTATCTGTTGAGTAGAATCCCTAGGGCACGTGTTTGCCTTCTGAGTAGATGAGATAGCATGGTGTGAGAAAACATGCTTAGTGGAGTGCTGTTACTATCTCCAAACATTATCACTATTCTCTTTTTTCTGTTTCACGGGAATAGTAAGGCCACTGATGCAGAACAATGAACAATAAAATCATAACAATGTGATGTACTTGTGTGCAGTCTGTGCACAGGCCAGGGACCTTGGCTATCAGCATGTATAGAACTGTCCTTACTGTTTGAGCTTATCAACTTTGAGCAATAAGAAGAGGGGAAGCAAGTGCCAGTAGTGTTGGGAGTTGCCCACAGAATACCATTTTATTTTTCACCTTGGAAAGACATACTACAATGTAAATACATTTTGACTTGAAAGTATCATTAATCAAAAATAATTTCATATTTGTCAGTCAGCCTTGCTGTAGAACTATTTGGATTTCTGCACTTACGTACATTTTCTAAGCTAAAACAATTGATCCAATAGTAATGAGAAATACTTGATATTTGGAAGAAATAAGACAATGAGAAATAATCTATATTTTTGTATATTATCTTCAGAGGAGAAAGACCAGTCAAGAGCAGTGGCTTATAATGGATAACTGTGCAGGGGGAAGAAATTTTGTATCTATACCGGAAGCCTAATCTCTGATCTGGGGATGGAGTTAAAATGGTCCTTATCTCAACTCTTCAAATTTCCTGAGGACAAGATTAGGCTACTGTGTTTGTGATGTTCTGTTCCCTCTATTCTAATTCAACAAATATTCATTGAGAATCTTCCCTGTGCCAAGCACCTTCTAGAGAGCAGGGGAGGCAGAGATGAGTGAAGGAGAGCCCTTCACCTAAAAAACCGCAGAGTCCATAGGAAGAAGTTGAACACAAATACAAAAATAACTGCAATTCAAGGTAACCAACTCAAACCAGTGCTTGTGTGAACAAAAGAATTAATCAGCAAATGAGCAATGAGAGCAGACACAAAATGAAGAGTAAAGAATGTGAAAGTTTACTGTTCTCTATTCCTACTACTGTCTTACTTCTTGGTTAGAGTTTTAAACTTTTCATGTGCTGTGGAGAACAGTGTCTTGAGGAAACTGATGGACCAAAATTCTTGTAGGAATGTGGAAAAAGTAAATTCTTGTAAGCCCAACTGCAGTCATTACTGAAAAGAAAGTCAAAATTAGAAAATATAGACACTCAAAGGGCAGGTCATTAAAGACTTCAAAAATCAGAATGAGTTTCATATATAATATGAATTAAAATGTTAACTGCATTTGTGTTTGTTAAATTGAGAAGGGTAAATGCATTTTAGTTTTTTTGTTTTTGTTGTTAATACTCACCAGAAGATATTTTTCCATTGATTTATTTTTTTTAAGATGGAGTGGAAGGGAGGGAGGGAGAGAGTGAGAGAAACATCAATGTGAGAGAGACATATCCATTGGTTGCCTCCTGCACAACCCTGACCGGGGCTGGGATCGAACCTGCAACCCAGGTACTGCCCTTGACAGGGAATTGAACCCATGTCCACTTAGTCTGTGGGCCAACATTCTAACCACTGAGCCAAACTGGCCAGGGATGCATTTTAGTTTTTCATTTTACATCTTTCATGTAAACTTTATGTGATATTCTCTGTCACTTGCTAATAATAAGAAATTGCTCTTTTCCAAAGTATATTTAGTCATGGAAAGTAATGATGACCCCGATGAAGATCACCTTACAAGTTACGATATTCAGCTCAGTATTCAAGAATCCATTGAAGCCAGCAAGACTGAATTTTGTCCTGAAAGGTAACAATCAAATTGACTATTCTCAACAAAATTTCTTTACAACAGTCATTTTGTTGTAAGATGATATAAATGATATTTTCTGACTCCTCCAGGAAAATGCTCACCGTTCTTTTCTGGCAGAGAACCGAACAGCTTTACCAGGGCCACTGTGATAGGGTTAGCAGTCTGATCGTCCACAAATCCTCATCTCAGGCAGAAGTTGGAAATAACCTAGAGGGGAAATTTTTAATTGAATTCAGTTGTGCATGATTTCCTATTTTTCTAAATTAATGGAATGAAAATAACAATAAATTTAAACAAATTTACAAGTACAGTTTATACAACTAATGTATAGATATGTGTACAGAGCTCTGTTCTGTATATTCTAGAGCTCATTCTGCTACAGACTCAGGCAACCTTTAAGTAATGTATTCTATTTTTGCATCTTTAAAATATGAAGACTGGGGGGGGGGGGGGGAAGATCTGTAACAAAAATAAATTAATAAAAATTTGGGAAAAAAATATGACGACTAATACCAATTCACCTAGCCCATTTGTTCAATGAATGGGAAAAGGGTTGAGGACTTCCATAACATACGGCAAAATAATATATAAACCAGAGCCTCTTTCATTATCTACTTTTCGAGTGACAGAAGTCAACAAATTATACATAAAATTGATGTTTTATGTTAGCAGGGTTTATAGAGTCTAAAACTGTAAAAGTAAATTTCTGTCTTGAAAAACATACATTATTCTTCTGACTAACCTAAACTTTAGTTTAATTTTACATTATATTATAATATTCTGAAATTAATAGTGCTTTTGAATAGATTCAGTGCTATAAAATTATTTTTTGAGCTTCTGAAAAATGGACTATTACATTTAAATTTCTGGTCTCTTTAATTTTTTCCTTACCTTCAACAGGTTTTAGAACTATAGGGTGCCCTAGAATGCCAGCAAATGTTTCTGCTTGATAAAGCTAAATCAATTTGTTATGAAATGCTTTGTTTCCTTTGAATAAACACACCAGAGAATTGCCTGGAGGTTTGAAATCATGACCTCCTGGGCCGGTGACTCAGGGCTTGCTCTGTAAATGCTCAGCCAGTTTTTACTTGCAGATGAGTTGATTAAGACTAACATATAGGCCCTGGCTGGTTTGGCTCGCATTTAGAGCATTAGCCCATGAACCAGCGTCTCCTGGGTTTGGTTCCCGCTAAGGGCATGTACCTTGGTTGTGGTTCATCCCCCGCCTCGGTTGGGGTCGACTGGTGGCAACCAATCAATGTGTGTCTCTCACATCAATGTTTCTCCCTCTCTCTTTTTCTCCTCTCTCTCCTTCCCACTCTGTCTGAAGATAAATGCAAAAATATCCTCAGGTGAGGATTTAAAAAAAAAAAAGAAAGAAGAATAACAGGTAGGGTGGATCATATGGTCATATGGCCATCATTAATGAGCAGTTATTACGTTTAAAGCAACAAATATTTATTGAGCATAGAATTTTTATTTATTTATTTATTTGTTAATCCTCACCTGAGGATCCGTTGACTTTTAAAGAGAGTGGAACGGAGACAGAGTGAGAGAGAGAGAAACATCGATATAAGTGAGACACATTGATTGGTTGCCTCCCACACTCATCCCAACCTGGGTGGGGGATCGAACCTACAACCCAGGTACATGCCCTTGATGAGGAATTGAACCCATGACCCTTTGGTGCACGGGCCGACATTCTAACCTGTGCTACACCCGCCAGGGCAAGCATATAATTTTTTAAATGGAAAGAAATTTTAGGGAATTTTCTATTTATTTCCAACACTTTACAGATGAAGAACCACCACTCAGAAAGGCTGATTGGCCTGCCAGGATCACAAAGCACAGAAGCTGAGCCCAGCTCTTCTCACTCTGACTGCAGTTGTTTATTCCTTCTTCATTGCTTGGAACTGATTTCAGAGACAGTGTTATAATCCTATATTTTGTTATCTTACTAATGTTCCTGGGTCTAGTGTATCATAAATATACTCTATATCTGACTCCTAGACGTTACATTTTTAAAGTGGATGAAATCAGTTGTGTGCATTTCCTAAAAATCTTGATTATTAAAATTAAATGCAGAATTCAATATAAATTAAAATGTTGGCTCCTTAGAGTATATCACTTTTATAATTATGGCTCATGTTTCTTTCTCCGGAAGATTTGTACCACTAAGTGATCAAAACAGAAAACTTGTCAAGGCCATAAAACAAGGTAAGTGAGTGTATTGCCTATACTGGGATGTATTAGGGATTCCATCTTGTCAAGACAGAGATTTGCTCTCAGCCCATGTGTTTAATTTAGGTCACATTCTTGAGCTCCAGGAGTATGTGAAATGTACATATGCGTTAGATGAAGCGGATGAAAAAGGATGGTTTCCATTGCATGAAGCTGTTGTTCAACCCATTCAACAAATACTTGAAATTGTCCTGGATGGTAAGAGAACCTAAAACCTTTTTGACCAGACTGAAGCCAGAACGTAAAAGTTGGGAGTGTTCTCAAAGAATATAACAAGCAAAAAGAAGAAGCAAAATAAAAGATTATTTGAAATTGGGAGAAGGCAGTACCCATTACCCCTCCCCCACCTTTTTTTGGTTAATCCTCACCTGAGGATATTTTTCGATTGATTTTTTTTTTTTTTTCTTAGAGTGGAAGGGAGGGAGGGAAAATGAGAGAAATATCAATGTGGGAGAGACACACTGACTGGTTGCCTCCTGCATGACCCCGATTGGGGCTGGGGTTTGAAACTGCAACTCAGATACATGCGCTTAACTGGGAATCAGACCCTCAACCCTTCAGTCCACAGGCTGATGCTCTAACCCCTGCGCCAAACCCGCCAGGGAAATACCCATGTTTTAAATGTAAGGTACAAAATTAGCACATTTTGTGAGACTCAGGGTTCACCCTTTGCATTCTTCTAAGAATGTAACAGAGGTTGGTGGGAAGATATGGTTATCATTTAAAAATGATAAAAGTTTGTGTATATCATGAATTAATTGATTTGAATATAAATATTTTTAACCCTCACCCAAGGATGTGTTTATTGATTTAGAGAGAGATGGAGAGAGAGAGAGAAGCTTTAAGATGAGAGAGAAACATAGATTGTTTGCCTCTCATATGTGCCCCGACCGGGGATTGAACCTAAAACATTTTTGGTGTACGGGATGATGCTTCGACCAACTGAGCTACCTGGCCAGGATTGAATATAAATTCTTTTACTTTTGGAAGTCAGTTTTTAATTTTTCATCTTGAACTATCTTTTAATGGAGTCCAAAAGATTATTATATAGTATAATTAGTACTTACCACATTTGTCCTTATATTGCATTAATTTTTTTCATTACATAAACATTATGATAAATTAACCCAAGCTAAATATTAATAATAATTTTCATGTTCTAACAGTATTTTTTATGCCTCTATATATTATAAAACACTTTGAGAGTGCTTTCTATCTTTTAATCTTCAATGTTGCCCCCCAGTTCTATGTTCTAGAAGATAATGATTAACTATCCAGCCAGCTCGCCAGCTAAAGAAAATAGATAGCTAGACATATAGACAGACGTAGAAGATGATGTTAAGCATAGTATAGCTAACATATTCTCACAGGATACATTCAAATATATTCACAGTCCCACATCCACAGAGTTCATTTGACAAAAACCAATTTCAGATGCAATTTAAATAATAATAATAAGGATTAGGAAGTTGGCTTATAATTATCAGGATGAAAGTTTACAACTCATTTTCAATAAAAAGAGCACCTTGAAATATAGATGTTGGGTTTTTAGCCATCAGCTTGAGTAGCAAGTCCCTGCTCATCTACTTATGTGCCATTTGATCAACTTGACTCATGTCTCCTTTTAGTCTTCAGTTTCATTGACTGAGTTTGTTCAATCTAATATGTATGATACTGTACTATTCTGATCTATGAGATGTCTTTATGGTTAAAATAAAGATTTTTAACTTTGTAAAATGCTTTCTCATCTCAGCATCCTATAAGACACTCTGGGAATTCAAGACCTCTGATGGAGAAACACCATTGACTTTGGCAGTCAAAGCTAGTCTGGTGGAAAATGTAAGAACTTTACTAGAAAAGGGAGTATGGCCAAACACCAAAAATGACAAAGGAGAGACACCTCTTCTGATTGGTAAATGACCTTTTTTCTAGAAGTTTTATAGTTTGAAACAGATAATAAATATTTAATGAATATTTATTGGAAACCATTATGTATTGGCTAAAATTATGTGACCTAATTCCCTTCCCTGGGTTCCTCCCCTATCTCCCATCCTATCTCCCATCTCACCTGTCCTAAGATTTTTTTTTCCTATCCCACAAAGAGGTCAAATGTGAAAGATTCTTCAGCACCAACTAACCAGGAGCAATCCAAACTAGTTTTAGGAGACCAAAAGTACCAGTTCTAAAAGAATCTTCTCTAGATCAGGTCTAGCTATAAGGAGGGTTGCATGTTTGGTATACAGCCAGAGAAAAGAGGCAGAAGGGGATTCCAGAGAGAGACTCCAGGTCCACCTCAGAACAATGAAGCCAAACTGGAAGGAAGAGTCAGCAGATTATGAGTATTCAGATGCAGCACTGGGCACCTGTAAGGAGTTAACCACTATGACACAACAAAGTAATAATGAAAAACCTAAAGGTGTCATTTATCAGTTTATTCTTGTGTATTCTGCTGTTTTTTGACCAATAAGAACTAGCAGGTATGTTTGTAGAAGTAGAGAGAAGTGATACTAACTACAAATGACCAGAGATAACATCTCCTTTCTCTTAGGGACTTGGGGTTGTGGAGTAAGAATTTGGACTTTGGTATCTGAGATCTGTGGGTTTATTTTCTCCCAATTTTATTGAGATGTAATTGACATAAAACATTTTATCAGTTTAAGGTATATGACATGATTTATATATGTATACATTGCAAAATAATTACCACAATAAGTTTAGTTAACTTACATCACCTCACGTAGTTACAAATTTTTTTCTTATGATGATAGATTTCAAGATCTACTTTCTTAGCAACTTTCAAATATATAGTATAGTATTATTATGTGGACTTAAATCTTAGCCATGAGATTGCAATTATGGGCCTCAGTTTTTTCATGTGCTAAATGAAAATATACCACCTACCATGCAGACTTGTTATAAAAATTAGAGAAAATATAAATATACTAAACTCCTGGCACATGATAGATGCTCAGGAGAGGAGAGGCGTTATGAAATTGTGTGTGTGTTGGGGATGGGAGGGGGAAAGAGGAGGAAGAGACCTAAGATTATTTATCAGCAATCACAGAAAAAGAGAATAAAGCACCATGAGCTGTGGTCATAGCTAGCTAACACTACCACAGCTCCTATTCACAGAGAAATCACTGGAATTTTAAAAACAACCTAAATACTGTTAACAGAAAACTTAGACAAGTCATAAACATTCATAAAATATTTATGTTCAACATTAGTTCAACAACATCAATGCAAACAACATTTATTGAGAAGTTACCTTAAGCCAGGTGCTATGCTAGACAGCATGGATATAAAGATGAGTGGAATCGTCTTCCTCCTCTCAAAGAGTCCCGTAGGAGAGCTAGGTAGGATTTAAATAGAAAATTAGTGTTATAAATTCTATAATAAAGGTGTATATTCAAAGTAAATTAGGGAAAAAGAAAGTCTAAATCTGTGAAACTTTCAAAGAGATAGTTGCTCTTGAGTTGTGACTTGGGGGCGGTAGAGGGTCATCAACAGACAGTGGAGGAAAATCTGGGCAGGCATTCTGCCCCTGGACATAGCGCTAAATAAATAGGGTCCCCATAGCCTGAGGCCATTCTGATCTGATTCCTTCTTACTTACTCTTGCCCCATGTCAGAGTTTTCAGCTTTCCTAAATTCAGATTTGATTAGACAGTCTAATATTATTATTAGGGTACAGGCAAAGCTTTTGTTAGAACAACTACAAAAAAACAAACACAAATACAACAAAGCAAACAACCAACAATGGCTTAAAAAGAAAGAAGTGCATTTCTCTCTTACACAGTATTTCAGAGTGTGTGGCCCAGGGTGGCAGGGTGGCTCTACCACTGTGACACAGAACTTTCAGACATCACCATGTCCCAGCAGCAACAAGGAGGAGACAGGCAGCCTTGGGAAAGCATCTTCACCTTTAAGAAGATGACCTGGACACTGCACACAGCATTTCCATTCTTATACCATTAGTCACGTAGCCATACTTAGGTACAAGGCAGGCCTGGGTATGTAGATTCTACCTAGATAGATTGTGACGAGCTAAAATTTGGGGCTTCTCTTGCTAAAAGGAAAAGGGGAAAGACAAGTACAGACAAACAGATAACTGTCTCTGTATGTGTTAACCAGCCTTTAGGTCGCCATAGCGTGGTGCTTTCCATAAATAAACTAGAGCTCTTTTCCTGAGCTGGCACTATAGGCATTAAGTAGAATATTCAGCTGTGGGTTGCTGCAACACTATTAATGTAAACTACATTATTTTTTAAAGGCATATACCATGGAGTTTCTGAAATGATATATATGTATTTATTGTTGTTTCTATAGATAATCATTGATTTCTTCTTCTTCAAATGACATACTTTAGAAAAGAGTTCATATCTAGAGTTCATTTACACTTGTAAATGTAAATGTAAAATTAGTCTCTACTTGTTGTTCTCAACCCACTTATTTTATAAAGTCATAACTGTCACTCATAATTGTTTTCTTTTTGCTTCATGCAAAAATGTTTAATGTGTAATGCCCACAACAGAGCATTAAGCATTTTTATGCATCTCAGAGTTTCATCTGTTGGTTTCTCTAGCAGTATCTGAAGTGTGGGAAAGGAACTTGATCATTGAGTTATCAGAATAAAAATAGAATTAACATTTGGAAATAATGTATTTTAAAAACCAAATGGTAATATCAAAGAGAAGTCAAAATTCTCATGAAGGAACTATTTTGGAGGTATTTGCTTATGTCCACATCATCCACATTTCTAGAGAATAAGAATTTTTCTTGGGTTACCTTCTTCAGGGACCTTCATTGTGGAAACCATATCATCTTTCTAGCATCATAGGAAGATGGATCACTCATGGCACTTCCTCAATTTTCTTCTTTAATCTATGGGCTACTCTGAAATTTGCTACGCACAGTCCAATAACTCATGAAGGAGACATAAGAAAAAAACTGTTATTTTTCTTTTTCTTTTTCTGTGTAATGCCAATCCCATCATACTTGTATTTATCGATTGATATCCTTCAATGGCCAAAAAAAAAGTCACTTTTGGTCCCTCCTGGGCTCTCCTTTCCCATCAGCCATCTGGCCCTTACTATGGTACTTGGATGTAATGCAGTCATGTTACACAGTTACTTGCTGAGTGGTAGATATTTGATTTGTGATGATCTGACGCTTAAGGGTTTTGCACTCAAATTCCTTCTCTGCCCTTCCTCCGAAGTCGGTGTCACCTTTCTCTAACTGGAGAAAGATTGTCCTGGCCAGTGGGGCCCAGGGTGCAGAAGAAGCCAGTTAATTTTGCTTCAGACATTTTCTTTCTCACAAATCAACATATATTCTCTTCACTCCATCACCTCTTCCAGTCGTCTAATCCTTGTCATGATACCTCAGGAAAACTTCTCTCTTTGTATGTCATATGAGTCAGAAAATAATTCACTGCTGACAAGTAAACTACATGAGCAAAACATATACCACAAAGAAAGTGACAGGAATTTAAACAGGAAAGGTGCCAGCAGACTACAAATTGTTCAGAAGAGCCTATAAACTATGTGAAACTCTCTAATTCCTCAGCGGAATCTTGGTTTTCTTAAAATGTTATTATTGAAGATATATGTGTGTATTTTTTAACTTCATAAATTATTTAATTTGTACTTTAGTTATGTTATACAAATATGGTGCCTTATTCATTTATTTCAGCCATTTATTGATTAGGAATGTCCTTGTGGGTTACCTTGGGATGGGCTTTCCACTATTTGCATTATTATTTTTATGGGAAATAAAGTATATTATTTCCAAAAAATTAAATTACAAGCCAAGTTTTATTTTTAAAAGTACTTTCGAACATGGCCTATCTATGTTGTTGTTTTCATGAAGAAAAACTAATATCTTTAATCAATATATTCTCTGAGTCAGGCAAAGGGAAAAAATGCAATAGGAGCAAGAAGATAAATGAGGATACTCCTCTTAGTTCGTTTAATTTATTGATGTTTGCTCTGCAATAACAGCAGCTAGGATGAGGTAATTCACTGTAATTAGAGCTGCCAGTGGCAGGTGGGTGATTCAGAGAAAGGCATTTGTCAACAGACTCTAATTTAGACAGTGAGTAGGAGAAAACCTGAAATCTTACTGCAGTGATAGCTTCCCTGCTTCCAAATGTGGTAGGCAAAGCTTGTCTTCATCCTCCGTTTCTGCCTCTGGAGCTCTCTCCCTTGCCTTGGCCTTAGATCCCTGCTGCATTCTGCCTCCTGGTTGCCCAGGATGTTCCATGTGGCCCTGCACCTCCTCCTGCCTTTCCCAGCAAAGGCCCAGACTCTGAGTCTCTCCTCAGACACAACAGGATAGCTCCCTCCCTAAACTGTAAATTCCACGGATGAGAAACATCTGTCATACAGCCAGCACATATTGCACGCGTGCATGCGTGAATGGACGAATCAATGAATCAGTGAACAGACCTGTATTTATCTCCATCTGCAGGGTGTAGCATTCATTCTGCTGTTTCTTAATAAGAGTTTACTTATTGATAAGAGAAAATTCATTACATCTTTTAGAAATATTTATATCTAAGCTGGGGAAATCTGTCATTCATCTAAAGGGGGAAAACACTTTTAACAGTGTAATTTCAGCTACTAGAGACAAGCAGAGGGGGAGAGAGACAGCTGATTTGGTGAACCTCTGAAACTGTAGCATGTTAGCTGTGGTATGTTTTATCTCTCTAGAACTACCGGCCTACCTAGGTTTTGAACATTCCTATTGCTAAACTCCCGTTAAGCGCACGAGAAAGAGAAGTTCATTTCATACTGTATCTTTGGTGGGGGGAAAAACTTTCTAGAGGGGGAAAAGCTTGATAAACCTCATTTATACATGTGACTCCAGGCTCCTAAAAATAATGACATGATATTGTTAATAATAATAGCTATCATTTACTGAGCTCCTAGTATATATTAAACATTTTACCTATATTGTTTAACCTATACAACCCAACAGTGGATATTATTTTTGTTTTGTTAATGAAGAAATTAAAGTTCAGAAAGATTATACACAGCATCTTATCTTAGCAATGTGCACTGTTTCTCAAGAAACTCTTGAACCTCCTCAGCTCAGAGTCTTAAAGAAGTGGCAGTATTATCTTACATGCTTATTTATACTCCACAATATAAATTTGGATATAAGAAATGGAAGGGGTATGAAAAATACCATATTATCTTGTAGAAGGGAGTAGCTAACATCTCTTTTGATGTTAAAATTAGTAACTTGTTTAATACCATCTAAGATATTCATGTTAATATGCCTACTGTCAATTGTTTTCTTTTTTAAATCTCTTCAAGCTGTAAAAAAGGGCTCCTATGACATGGTGTCGGCTCTGCTCAAACACAATGCCAGCCTTGACCAGCCCTGTGTCAAGCGATGGTCAGCAATGCATGAAGCAGCCAAACAAGGCCGCAAAGACCTCATAGCTCTGCTACTGAAACACGGTGGCAGTGTCCACCTAAGAGATGGCTTTGGAGTCACACCGTTAGGTGTTGCTGCTGAGTATGGTCACTGTGATGTGCTGGAACACCTAATCCACAAAGGTATGTTAAAAGAAATTGTGTGTCCCTGACTTTTCTCCTGCCTCTCCAATTTCCTTTTCTCCATTCCTTCCTGAGTCCTCTTCCTCTCCTGAATATAACTGGGCATCAGACTTTGATACCCAGCTCTTGATAACCTTCTCAATAGCCCCTTATTCCACAACTCAGTTAAACCCTATTCACAGTTACCTGCAAATCTGCATGTCCATCTTTCTCTAAAAACAGCCCAATTTTCATATAGATGGCTCACAGCGTATCACACTCCTTTTTTAAACTGAATTCCGCTTCTTTCACACTTTTGATTTTAAAATGTCTGTCATCCAAGACTGAAAGCTTACATTTATCTCTACTTCTTCCAGCACCTTCTTTTCCAAATCCAGCCAGGTGCTGAATGCTACAGTGTCCCACTCATCTGTCCTCCTTGGCCGTCCCTCTGGTTTGCACCCTGTTCGGGTCCCTCACATCTTCTCCGGACCAAAGCAATCGTTCCTCTGTTCTCCAGGTTTCCAGTCTCCCCATCAGAGAGTGTCTACTCGTACTGAACTCAGCTCCTCTGCCTAAGGACAGCTACAATAGTGTATATTAGTAAAAAAAAAAAAAAAAAAAAAAATCCTCAGTGGCTCCCACTGCCAAGTGAATCATGCTCAGGTCACCTCGGCATCCTCCTGAATTGTTTTAGCAGGTGTATCCCTCGCGATTTCCAGCTCCCTCCTACTCCCAAGCACACCTCACATCTCACTGTCTGTGTTTGCGTCAGGCCTTTGCCTTCGTCTGGGATTCTGCCCAACATAATTCAAAACCAATTTCTTGAGACACCTCCTCCCTACGCCTTCCCTAGTTCTGCCCAACAGATTGTGATGTTGCCCCTCTTTTGAAACCTTCGAGTGCTTTATTAAGAATTAAGAAACCAAATTCTGAAACTAGTTCTGCCACCTACTCATTGTGTGTTCCTATTGTACTATTATTGACTATATTCCCTATGCTGTGCTTTATACCCATGACTATTCTTTTTTTTATTTTATCCTCACCCGAGGACATTTTTCCATTTTTTGTACAGATAGAGTGGGAGGGAGAGAGAGGAAGGGAGAGAGAAACATCGAGGTGAAGGGACACATCGAGTGGCTGCCACCCGCACGACCAACCAGGGCCGGGGACAAACTGCAACCGAGGTACGTGCCCTTAGCGGGAACCGAACCCCCAGGTCTCTCTGGACCGCAGGCCGACACTCTAACCGCTGAGCCAAACCAGCCAGGGCCCCATGACTATTCTTATAACTGAACATTTGCACTTAAACATCTGATCTGTAAACAAAGGCTAGGATAACATGATCCCTAAGGGTTGACTATGGGGAAAAGACTAACATTTTTTTTTTTGTTTGTTTATCCTCACCCGAGGACATTTTTCGATATTTTGTTCAGATAGAGGGAGAGGGAGAGAGAGAGAGAAACATCGACATGAAAGCGACACATCTAGTGGCTGCCACCCACACGACCCAACCAGGGCTGGGGACAAACTGAAACCAAGGCACATGCCCCCAGCGGGAACCGAACCCGGGTCTCTCCGAACCACAGGCCGACGCTCTAACTGCTAAGCCAAACCGGCCAGGGCAAGACTAACATTTTTGAGGCCCCCAAAGTGAAGCTTTATTTAATTATTAAATAAGTCTATGACATACGCTGAATCATAATTCAAACACAGACCTTTCCACCCTACATTGAGGCTGCTAGTTCTGATGTCACATGAATGCCACAGTTTGTGTTTGATGATTTTTGTTTCGTTTCCTCTCTGAGTTTCTTAAAATAGATTTATTCGTTTTAGGATCTTCTGTTGAGTCACACAGTGTTTACACATAGAGTGCAGTCGATAGGCATTTGTTGAAATAGAGTGTTAACTGTTGTCTTTTCCCGGGAGCATTTGTCTGTTTTTGAAATTGACTTATTTCTCTGATGTTCTAGTAATGCAAAGATTTACTAATAAAATGAAACATGCTGCATAATTGTTTATTAAAAATATTGAGCCCTGGCCGGTTTGGCTCAGCGGTTGGAGCGTCCGCCTTCGGTACAGAGAGACCCGGGTTCGGTTCCCGCTAAGGGCACGTACCTCGGTTGCAGTTTGTCCCCGGCCCTGGTTGGTCGTGCGGGTGGCAGCCACTCGATGTGTCCCTTCACGTCGATGTTTCTCTCTCTCTCTCTCTTCCTCTCTCTCCCTCCCGCTCTAGCTGAACAAAAAATGGAAAAACGTCCTCGGGTGAGGATAAAAAAAAAAAATATTGAGAACATGGATGTATTTAGACTTCTTAACTCTATAGTTTTAATTTTAAGTCCGAACCAAGACGGAAAACAACAGCTATTTTTACGAATCCTGTCTTGACAATCCACCCAGTTATCACCATGCCGTGTGTTCACACTGCCAGGGGGTGACGTGTTCGCTTTGGCGGATGATGGGGCCTCAGTGCTGTTTGAGGCAGCAGGAGGGGGCAATCCTGACTGCATTTCTCTCCTGCTGGAATATGGAGGAAGTGGAAATGTGCCTAACAGAGCAGGGCATCTTCCTATACACCGAGCTGCCTACGAGGGACATTACCTGTGAGTGAGAAATCATAGGATGGATAGTTTAAGTTAAAAAACACAAAATTGCTTATACAGTATAATCACAATTCTCTCTATGTAATAACCCCCTAAATCAAAAAAAAAAAAAAAAAAAAAGGGCAAAATGTTCAAAAGTTTTGTTCTTCTAAACATTTTGTTTGACTTTTCCCCTTCTTTTTGTATTTTTTACTTTTAAAAAATTTTTAAAAACTTTTCAATTATGATTGACATACAACACTGTATTTGTTTGAGCTGTACATCATAGTATTTAGACACTTATATACCTTATGAAGTGCTCACCCCAATAAGTCTAGTACCCATCTGACATTACAAATAATTATAATATTATTGACTATAGTCTCTATGTTGTACTTCACATCACATGACTATTTTTATAACTAACCATTTGTATTTCTTAATTCCTTCACCTTTTTCACCCATCCTCAAAGAGGCCCACACCAAAACACATCATAATATATTTTTGTACTTTATAAAATTTCCACACTAAATGTATACTATTTTTATAATGAGGTTTCTCTCTTATTATTTTTTTATGTTTTTACTGATTTTTTTTTTAGAGAGAAGGGAAGGGAGAGAAACATCCATGTGAGAGAGATACATCAATCGGCTGCCTCTTGCACACCCCCTACTAGGGATCGAGCCCACAACCCAGGTATGTGCTCTGACCGGGAATCGAACCCAGACCTCTCAGTCTATAGGACGACACTCAATCAATCCGTTGAGCCACACTGGCCGGGCATATAATAAAATTTCTCTTTTAGAAGGAAGTTACACATGAGATTTCTTCACAAGCCACCCAAATATGTCTTTCTGTTTTTTAAGTGTGTTTTTAAAAGGCTATAGAATTGGTAAAAATTTGCCCTTTGCAAAGAATTAAAATTTGTGAAAATACTATCAATATTACTCTAATTACTTAGCAACATGTATGAATATTATATGTCGTATAATGTCAAATATATTACTGAGCAGAAAAGTGTCATTATAAGTATAGATTTCTTTATTTAAAAAAAATGGTTGGCTAGATTTTTAAATCACAAAAGTGTCACAATTGACACGTCAGTAGAAGTCTATAATCATTATATTAAATTACCTTCCATGAGAAGTTAGTTTTAGGCAATTAAATATATTTAATAAGTTAAAATACGTAGGCTTTCTCACCTTCAGTGGCCACATTAGCCAAGTGGCCAATGACATTATTGACGCTAAGTGACATGTTGTTAAAGTTTACCTGGATTTGTTCCCAGTGTTCATAAATTCACACATGATAGCTCTGAATTAGGCACAAGAGATCAAGTTATCCTTGCTGGTGGCTCTCACAGGTGACTAGTTGGTCAGTCAAGTGTGAAATTTACAGCTATCACAAGTTCTTAGAAACATAAGCAGTGGTTAGTTATCTTAATTAGACTCATATAAGGTTGATGAAATAATAACTCTTTTTATGGCTAATAATTTAATTTCTAGTTATATTGAAGTAGATAGAATATACACAGCCAATGTTAAAGCATGGATATCTCAGAAAGCAGTGGAAGAGGAGTAATGAATGAGAATTCAAGAAGTCTAAATTCTAACCCTTACTCCACATCTGTGTGACCTTGCACAAGTCATTTCACTTCTCCAGACTTCATATTGTTCTTCTGTTAAAAGAGGAGCTTGCACTAAGCGATGTTCAAGATCACTTCCAGCTTTAAGTTCCTGTGACTCTATGATTATAATAGTCAAGATTATGAAACATTTTTCTATTGCATCAGATGGGGTTACTTTTCTTTTACATTTTTCATTAAATAGCATTGGTTGCTAATAAATTTTATATTGTTCAGAGAAGAATTGGAAGATGGAGAGGGTTCCTGAGTAGCCAAAATTCTAGGACCAAACATATGATCTAGCATGATCCCCAGGAATATTTAGAACAGGAAGCTAAATAAAAACTAAACTAAATTACACTAAACTAAATAGTAGTGAGTCAATGGACAAAGGTTAAATGTCTTTGTATAAGGTTATCTAGCAAAAGTAAAGAAAACTAAACAACTGCATTTGTCTAATGAGGAAACTGGTTCAATTAATTTCTTGATTGTCTGCATGCCATGTGGATATATTTTTTTATTTTATTTTTTAGTGCACTGAAATATCTTATCCCAGTAACATCCAAAAATGCAATCTGGAAAAGTGGGCTAACACCAATTCACTCAGCAGCAGATGGGCAAAATGTACAGTGCTTAGAATTGCTCATTGAAAGTGGTTTTGATGTCAATACTCTACTTGCTGAGCACATTTCTGAGAGCTATGACGACAAGAGGAAGACTGCGCTGTATTTTGCCGTTTCTAATAATGATATCCATTGCACAGAAGTTCTTCTGAATGCAGGTGCAGATCCCAACTTAGATCCCCTCAACTGTCTGCTTGTGGCAGTGAGGGCCAATAATCACGAAATTGTCCGGCTGCTTCTCTCCCATGGAGCTAATGTCAATTGTTATTTTATGCACGTGAATGACACTCGTTTCCCCAGTGCCATTCAGTATGCCCTAAACGACGAGGTAATGCTGAGGCTGTTGCTGAATAATGGCTATCAAGTGGAGCTGTGCTTTGAGTGCATGCACGGAGACATCTTTGGGAATTCATTTGTGTGGGCAGAGATAGAGGAAGAGGTGCTGCCAGGATGGACATCTTGTGTAATAAAGGATAACCCGGTGAGTTACAGCCTTTCATTTTGCACATTGGGTCATCACCCTAACTTCGACTCATTTAGAAATGTAACCAGAAAAGAAAAATCAACTCTAACTTTTATATTTTTCTCACTCTTGAATTTTTGTTGGCGATAATATGGCAATATAGGAGTAAAACTGGGCACCAAAGATGGTGTTTATTTTTCTTGAATTGGAAACTGAATGTAGAAGAATGTTGAAATGTACGTAGTTAATAGCTTATGCTTATTCAGTGGAAGTTGGGGCTAAAAGCACGGAAAGAAGACCCATGAAAAGAAGCATGATTCTTCCGTGTCATACTGACTACCAGCGCATTAGAGCCATGCATGTAACTCCACGACCCACAGTTTCACAGAAATAAGCAAATGATTTATTTTTCTTTTATTGTTCATTATAAGGAGGTACCTCTTATTTCCTGTAAAAAGACAAAGATAGTGATTTTCATAACAAAATTGAAAGTTTATGTATGTGGTATATTCAAAGTATTACTAAATTAAATTTTATCAATTCTCTCAGTTCTGTGAGTTTATTACAGTTCCTTGGATGAAACACCTGGTAGGCAACGTTGTTCGTATATTAATAGATTACGTGGATTACATCCCTCTGTGTGCTAAGCTGAAGTCTGCACTGGAAGTACAGAGAGAATGGCCAGAAATTCGTCAAAAACTAGGTAAAACAAGGTTCGACTACAAAATTTTTTTATGAAAAATGCCTATGGGGAAATTTCTTAATGTTATCTTTAATACTTTTTCAATGCTATTTTATTTTCAGAATAATGTTTTTGAAAATCACCCTAAATACTTCCACTGATTTAAGATACTAATTTTTTTCTTGGTTGTATAATTAATTGTGTAATGGGTACTATTATAAGTATATTAACATTCTAACTAGAACTCTCTTTTTTTTTTAATGCTCACCTGAGGACATTTTTCGATATTTTGTTCAGATAGAGTGGGAGGGAGGGAGAGAGAGAAACATCGACCTGAAAGGGACACATTGAGTGGTCGCCACCCACATGACCCATCCAGGAAAGAAGACAGGGCCGGGGACAAACTGCAACTGAGGTACGCACCCTTAGCGGGAACCGAACCCCAGTCTCTCCAGACCGCAGGCTGATGCTCTAACCACTGAGCAACCGGCCAGGGCTAGAACTCATTTTTAAAAGTTAACTTCTATAATATAATAAAGTATATAGACTATAACCTCCATATGGGCAGGATCAGTTTTGTTTATTTTTGTAATCTCAAAGTTTAGCATAATTCCTAGTAAGTGGTAAATAGTCAATAAATATTGAATAAATGAATAAATGATATAAATTAGAATTTTCCTTTTGATATGCTCTCTCTCTCTCTCTCTGGTCTTTACTGACAAATTCCTACCATCAAAAGTTTGTATTACAGGCAAGCAACTTTGTATTCTCTAGGTTAAAGTTAATTATAATCATAAACGTGAATCATATTACAAATGTTTCAATAAAATTGCATCTAAAACTACTTCAAATACATATAGAAACTAGAAAAATTGTATATTGGAGAGGTTTTCTCTTTCAAAATATGAGTTTGGAAAAATAAACTTCAAAACCTACTTGGACATCATTTTCATGGAGCCTAAAGAAACATCATAGAACTTTACATTACATTTATATATTCTGGCATTCTTAGTAAACCTAAGTCATCCATGAATGGCATAACAAACCTCAACAACCAATTCTTTAGGATCAGGAACATTTTAGGTAAATTAGGTAGACTATATTTATCAGTCAATAAGATGAAACTTAAATGTTGAGCCAATTTACATACCAAATTTGTTAGGTATAAAGTTCTATAAAAAGAAATATGAGTAATAAAGTGTTTTTTATTTAAATATTTAGTTTCAATCAGAGTCTCCTACATTAAATTAATTTATCTAAATTTTGTGGGAAGGATGGAAACTGGCTAGAAAGATTGATAGTTCAACCCAATGCAGATTTGGAGGTAAGCTTGGATTTTCCTCAAGTGGCTTCCCCTTGAATGAGTTCTACAATAGAAGCGACTTTGTGGGAACTAAAACTGGAATCTTAGAGAATCTGATGAATAATGCAGTACTGTGAGGCTATAAATGGGACGGGGTGAAATTCTGGCCTTGTCTAGGAGTAGGATTGCTGGGTTGTATACGTCAGTCAGGGCTGATATTTTCATGGAAACGAACAACAATTTACTGTATCATTCTTGTTTCATTGAAAAAGGGGGAATTTTTTATTTTCTGGGAAAAAAAAAAAAAAAGGAACAAGATAGCATACTAATGTGAATTTGAGAAAGTTACCCTTTTTATGCCAAGATTTCCCACTGCAAAATGGGGCTACAGTAGCAGTTACTTCATATGGGAATTTAAAGAGATGATGCACATAAGGTGCTTAGCATACTCTAGAACATTAAAAACACTTGATAAATTTAGCTATCTAAAAAACTACAATATTAGTGTTTTATATTATTTTTATTACATGGTAAATTTATGTGAAGTATGAAATGTATATATAAAGTATGTCATGAAATCTTCGCAACTTGTAGAGTTGGGTGTTATCATGCTAATTTTTATCAATAAAAAACTAAGGCTAAGAGAAATTATAAAACAGTTTGGACCTTATGAATTAATGAAACTGGGCTGTCAGGCCTCCCCTTCTGAACTGAGGCCCACATTGGGGGTAACATCAGAAATGAAGCAGGAGAGAGATAAGAGAGACTGCACATAAGTGGGGTGGCAAACAAAACCAAGAAACTTCAGGGGGCAAGACACCATGTTTTGGATCATTGCAAGAAGACAACAGAATAGGAAGCTCTGTTAACTTAAAAGAGCTATCTTGAATTTAGTTCCTTCCAGAAATTTAGGAAAACTAAATTCCCATGAAAATAAGCAACAGGAAAGTACCACAGTCAAATCTCATATACATTTAATATAATAAAAAAAATAGAAATAGACATGTCAAACATATATATATATGTATGGTCATATATACATATACATAAATATATGGTCAATACTATGGTATAGGTATAACACACTGAGATGATGAAACTCTAAAGGAAGTGGTTACTGTAAATGTCAGAATAGTACTTCCTTATTGGGAAGAAATAAATGAAGCTTGAGATGGATTGTGGAAGAAATTTTGGAATGGCTGGAGTCTTCTATTTATGACCTGGGAGGTAAAGATGCTGACCTAATGATCACTTATAATAACTTAAGAAAATATACATTTATTCAGTTGCTCTATCTATATTTTATTTTATAATAAAAAGTTAAAATATTTTGGAGATTGTAAAGGCAAAAACCCTAAAGCTTAGACAAATTAATTTTCCAAAGTTGTAGACAACAACAAAGCAAGGAGTTGATCCCTTTGTTTCATTTAAAAACACACTCTTTCTCCAGCACCACTGTGCTTTCTGTCAGAGAACAGATTTTGCTTCTAATTGGTAATTAATTTTTAATGTGTTTATACTGAAAAAGAATGACCAATTCTTATTACTTTAGAAAGGCAATCCAAGTAAAAATAAGAGGAAGGTAGGTTTTTGGTTGTTTCTGTCATACATTATTGCAACCAGAATGTAACTCAGTTTATTGCTATGAGTATGGATAACCACTGGATGTCAGCATTCCTCCAGGTATACAAAAGGCAGTATATTTGTCAGGGAAGAAAATAAAATGGTAATTAAAAAAAAAAAAAAAAAAAAAAGATGGGTTTATCCTGCGTATTTTGATAACAATTATTTTCCCTCAATAGTTCTTGAAAAGCATTGTTTTCATTTAAAAAATAATAATTTGAATGTTTATCATCTCACATATAATAGAAATGTGATGTCTTTTATTTTTGAATTGAGTGATAGTTCACATTATTGAATGGTTACAAGGTACCAACTACTTTTTTAATGTTTTACATGAATTTATTTGTTTGATCTTCAAACAACCCTAAGAGGTAGGTCCCATTCTTATCCACATTTCACAGATGAGAATACTGAGTTCACAGGGATTAAGTATCTAGTTCAAGGTCACTCAAATACTAAGTGCAGAGCCAGCATTTTAATCCAGGCTGGCCAGTCCAGAGCCTACAGCTGAGCCCCTGTGCTATGCTGCCCTTTCACTAGCTCCTATTGCTGCGAGAATGTATCATTACTGCAACTGCAATATTGGTAAAGTAAGAGTTGAAAATAAAGACTAACTCTGATATTTAACCTTAGTAGATATTTTTAAATATGAATGTTTAGGTGTCAGACACTGAAACAAATCTAAGAATGATGGACATATAGAATCATTTGCATCAGATGCTTTCTAGATAATAATTCATCAGAAAGATTGGTAGACGAGAGAGAAAGTTGAGAAATATATCTCTGTAATACTCAATTCCAAAAAAAAAAAACGAGTAGGAGGAGATGTGAGCTCTCTTAAATCAAGTCCATTCATTCATTCAACATACCCTAGTTGAACACTCCCTATGAACCAGGTGTCTTCCTGACAGAGACAGACTCAATGTCTGTCTGCCTGGAGCTTACATTGAGGAATGGTCTGTCTGGAAACCTTAATTACAATTTGAATTTCACTTAAAGTCACCAGTTGCTAACATTTGTATACCTATATTTCAAAATCACACTATTGATGTTATTCTAAAACAGTCTGTATCTTCCAGTTCAATCCACTAACATTGGTTTTTATTTATTTATTTATTTTTGCTTGTTGTTGTTTTTTTTTCCCATTCATTTTAGAGAATCCTTGCTCATTAAAGCATTTGTGTCGGCTAAAAATCCGAAGACTTATGGGACTCCAGCGACTCTGCCAGCCAGCCTCAATGGAGAAGCTTCCTCTACCACCAACTATTCAAAAATACATATTATTTAAAGAGTATGATCTCTATGGACAAGAGCTAAAATTGCCATAATTTAAAAATAATATTTTAAAATGTGATTTTAAAAATACTTTAAATGTGATTCCGTAAGAGCATTTCTTGGAATCATTTTACATCCTTAAGTGTATTTAAATCCATTGTAATTTTATAACGGGATCCTGTGTTCTTATGAGAACACCACACTTTACATCTTTAAAGACCTTTACATTGTGATTTTTTAAAATTTAAGTATGGTTGATATACAATATTATATTGGTTATGTTAGTTTTAGATATATAATATAGTGATTTGACATGTTTATACCCTATAATATGATCACCCTACTAATTCTAGTAATCATCTGTCCCCATGCAAATTTATCACAATACCATTGACTGTGTTCTCCTTCCCCTTTCACCCCGTCCCTGCCCCTCCCCTCTGGCAATCATCCTTTTGGTTACATTGTGACATTTTTAAACAAGTCAGTATTTGTATTTAAATTTCTATTAATTTTCTTCACTTGCAACAAGTCTTCAAACTCTCGCTATTAAGTGGCTCCTACAATATCCACCAGCAAATCTCTCCTATGTTTTATAAAACAAAGACCCACTTTCCCAAACCACATCTTAAGCTAGTTGCTGGCCCTTCCTCTTCCTTCTCTCATGGCCAAGCTGCATGAAAGAGCTCCTTCTTGCCTGCAGAGTCACACACGATGGCTGGCTTCCGCTCCCTCCACGCCTTTCTCGAGGTCCTTAACAAGTTCTTTTTGCTAATTTCAATGAGTATTGTTCAGTCCTTTCAACTGACTCCTGCAGCCTCTGACACTTGCTTGCTCCCTCCTTGGAAAGGTCTTCCCTTGGTTTCCACAACACCTTGTTGTCTTGGCTCCCCAAAGGCTTTGTCTCTGGCTTCTTTCTGTGTTGCTCATCTCTTTGCCAACCCTTTTGTAGTATTTCTTAAGCCCTCTTCTCTTCTTATGCTACATCCTCAGGGAAATTTCATCCATGTTCGCAGTTTCGATTACTACCTGTATGCTGTTGACTACAAAATATATATCTGAAGTTCAGGTCTTTCTCTCATGTGCTTGGGACCTGTGTAGACAATTGACGTAATGGACATGAATACAAACACGCCTCAAGTTCAACATGTCCCAAATGAACTCACTGTCTTCCTCTACTAAAATGCTCCTTCTCGCACATCCTCTAACACAATGGTTAGTGCAATGATCAATTCAGTTTCCCAAGTCAAAAGACTGGGCATTAGCCTTGAACACCCCATTTTTCTTACCCAGTATAACAGATCACCAAATCCTGGTGAGTTTAACTCTTGAAATCATCTACTGTCTCACTGGTCCCGCCCTAACTGCAGCTATTATCTCCATTTGCCTGGGATACTGTAGTGCTGCCAACTGGCCTTCCTTCCTATTGTCTTGCCCATTCAACATGCAATCTACACACAGCATCCCAGAATGCCCTTTTACAAATATAAGTGGAGTTTCACTCCCTTGCTTAAAATCATTCCCATTGCTCTTTAGGATAAAGTCCACCGCTCTTCCATGACCTTTCATTATCAACCCCCTGCCTTCCTCCTTAGACTTATTTCTTGATGTCTCCCTCACCCCTCCCCTTGAGCCCTATTAAACACCTTTTAGAAATTTATTCTTTGAGCAGTGATTCCAAGACAAATGTAAAATCTATACATCAGTTGTTTTTGTTTTACTAGTTTTAAAAATAGGGTCATTCATATAAATATATATAGTGGGTCCCAGGCAGAGGGAGAAGACAATGAAAATATATATGTATATCATCTATTATCACTGTCATTTCATAAAAGAGCATCCATTTTAATGCCAGGAAATAAGGCAGCCTTAAACTCAATTATTAAAATGGAATGATTTTAGCTTTGGAAAGACTTGTCACACTATCTTCATTTTCCCATTGATGGGTGAAAATTTCATTCTGGTCCAACAAGTATTATAGATTTTCTGTTTGGGAATTATTGCTGGGGAATAGACCACACTCTCTTGCACCTTGGGGGTCTTTGCACTTTTGTTTCCTTCTCTCTGGAATCCTCTTCCCATCTCCTTCCTCCTCTTCAGTTATCAAAGTTGTCTTAGATAATCAAATTGCCTTAGACGACATGTTGGCAGAACAAGGAGGTGTATGACACCAACACCTTCCTTCAGGTAGAGACAAGCATCACTAAGATCAGACAACAAGCTACCTGGCTTCGGCAAACATTAGATCATCCCACCCAACTCTTTGAGGAAACCGAAGATTGGTTTGCAAGTCATTTTCATGAATACCCCAAGGGGTCAGGTCCATATTTGGAGGAATTTCTTAGTTAGGTTTAACCATTCTTTTCTTTATAATGCTTGCCTTCATTTTTCTAAAGCTCTTTGTGGCTTGTTTTCCCTACACTGAAAAAATTGTATCAGCATGATAGGCACCTCTAAGAAATATATCTGCTTTTAACTCATGAAATTTTGCTTTACAACAGGCTCAAGTTTTTCACCCTTATCCTGCAGGTCTCAGCATGGATGTTGCCTCCTCTAGCATTGGCTCCAGCATAGAAATTCTCATGCTGTATTATAGGTGCCTAGGTTCTCATCTGCCTTGCCCCACTAGACTGTGAGCTAGCTCTGTGAGGGCAGTGTCTATGTCTGCTTGGTTCTCCAGTGTTTTCTTAGGGCCAAATACATTCCCTAGAGCACAGAGAGAGTTCAAAAAGTATTTGTTGAATATACTGAATGAGTGAATTTTATATGAGACCCAGACAAATATAATCAGTGACCTCGTGGTATCATTATAACTATCGTTATAGTTTTGAATCTCTGAACTAGTTATATAATCATAATGTAATTATTTAGATTTATTTTTCTTAGGTTTTAATGTGCTTCTTATATTTATTTTTATCTTAAGAGTTACTGTACTTTTTCAATTGTAATACCTCACTGGTTGTGAATTTTTTCAATTGTATTTAGCTTCAGTTATCTTTGAGATATAAATAAGTATAAAAATTACCTGTATAATTAGAGCTATAGTTTTAACCCTTTGTATTCCCTAGAGGATATATTTTTTTATATACATTAAACTGTAATGTATTTAATTAGAACTATAATGTTTTATGTATAGGATTTCACAATTCCTCTGTTGCTCTCCTACTTGAAGCTAAAATGCATTGTTACCTGTAAATAGTGCACTAAATAAAAAAATAATAACAAAGGTGTAAGCTTGCCATATGACTTCAAATAAACTAACTCTTTGACATTTTCTTTAATGCAGTTTATGCAAATATATTTAAGAAATACATGAATGTAAATATATGGATGCACTACACATGGTGTAGGTTTTGAAAATGGTTCTTTGGTGTTTGTAAAGCAGGAGAAAAATGATGACACTTAGGCAATCACTGTGTCCAAGGTGAATTTCTTACCATATTTTGAGCTTTCCTAGCAGTGTTTTTGTTTTTGGGTGGGCTGGATGGTAAGGGGAATTAATTCTATCTAATTAGGACTCTGTTTCTCCGAGAATATGTCACCTTATCTGAGAGAGGGCAACAGCTGCTCATCCCTCAGAGCCTTTAGAGGAGCCAGACATTCAACATTGGTGCCTGTTTAACCACTGTGAAATCGATGTGATAGTGTCTTGACGACATCATTCCATGCTGCCAAGATATCATGGCTGTTTTGGTCACTGTGGATTCTATTTTGTATTGTACAGAAAGCCTGGGTAGACAGAAGCAGATTTGAGCTCTCAGCTGAGTGTACTTTGTTTAGTGTTTCAGTAGGTGATCTTTAAATAGTATTTCCATTTCATAAGTACATTAAAATCAAGTGCGTCCTGAAGAATATGGTTCATTCATTTTCATGAGTCACAGTGCTTGTTTCCAGGCAACAGGATGACAGTGCAGAAAACGTGAAAGTGGTTGTGCAAGTGTTGCACAGCAAATATTCATAGGTAACGCTCCCTTTGATAGGTGTTTCTGAAAAATGAGTCCCGATTGGTCAGACACCATGAAAACTACAAAAAAGATGGATTGTTTTATGGCACTGAGAACCACACTTAAGCCTTGTCGTGGCCTTTTACCAGACATTCTTACCCAAATTTTGGTTTCAAGACACATCACTCTTGCATATATTGTCACCTTCCAAATCAGAAATCATTTAGGACATATAAAAACTCTAAGCTACTTCAAGTTATTTATGAGACAAAATGAAACATAACATATACATACATACATACACACACACACACACACACACATATATATACACATACACACTTGCATACACAATACATATATGTATGACTATACAAATACAATATACATATATACATGCATCGCAGTATGGCATATTTGCAGTGCAATATAATGCAGTAGATAAGAACATATACTTTGTAACTAAACAGACATGAGTTTGAACCAGGCTCCACCAATTATTAGCTGCTTGAATTTGAACAAGATGAAGTAAATGTAGAAACATGTTATCTAACATAGAGCAAGTATATGTGAAACTCGAGCTCTCATCATCATTGCATAGTGACAGTGATAGTGCCAGAGTCGCCAAAGTCAAGAACCTTGGTCTTATGGTACAAATCTGCAGATTGTCATGCTTAGATGTGAAAATAATGGTAGAGGTGTACATGGCATCTTACTGTCATCTATAAATCCTTTGAGGAAAGTCACAGAATAAAAACAGCAGGGAACTATCCCTTGCCTTAACCCCTTACATTTGCTTTTACTTAGTAAAGCCCTGATCATCAAATGTTGAAAAGGGAAGAAAGAACTTCTCAAGGGAGAAGATGTGTAGAAGGAATAGACTTATTTGACCTCAGTGGCCTACGTTTTGTAACCTCAGGGAATGCTAGAGATGCCTGGGGATTTGCTGTTTTTGGAAAGAGACAGCCTAGTAATTTGAATCTAGGCACTGGGCGGGGGATGAGAGGGGATGAGTTCTAATGTTGGATTGGCCAGTGATTCCACCAGAGGCACTTGACCAATACTAACATTCTGTGCTTCAGATTCCAGTAAACTGGGAACAGCCATTTCTCTTGCTTTGGAATTCTTCCATCCTGAATCTCCAGTGAGATCTAAGATAACACTCTTGGAAGCAGTCCATAGTGCGGGATAGGTAGAGGGTGTGGAGGGCGCTAAATGTGATACTTACTTGGGATTGAGAGGGTGTGAGATACCAGTATCAGTTTCTTCCTATGAAGCTAAGTCTGCACTGGCTTCTCAAGAAAGCTATTT